ATAGCAATGGCACTCCTACTGAAGGAGGGTGTGGACAAAGTCCTTTGCGAATCGCTCCAGGATCAAAGGAAGAATGTCAGAAGGCAGGTCACAAGGAGGAAAGCTCCAGTGGAAGCTATGTTCGAGAATCCCGAGTCGGCGAACGTAATCAAGCTAGACACAGAAGAAAACCTCATAAGACAGCTTAGGCTTAAGCTTGAAAGGCTCAATGAGCAGATCTCAGCGATGCTGGCCACCCCGGGGAACGAGGAAGAGCGAACCAAACATGACGCCTTCATGGATCGAGCGATGGAGTATGAAGAAACGATTTTCGAGATGCTTGCGAAGATCGAATTCCTGAGACGTGGCCCGGGCGAGGACGCTGCCGCGCCAAGCACCAGCGCGACTCAAGATAAGCCGCATCCTGCGGATCAAGACAAATCCGCCATTACGGTAATCAAGGATGTCATCGTGAAGCAACAGGATAAGATCCCAAAGTTCGCAGGCGATGCCAAGAAATTCCAGGAATGGTTCGAGTTATTCGGGTCCGCGACGACCACGTGTACGTCACCATTGGAAAAATTTAAAAGACTGAAATCATCGTTAGTCGGCAGCGCCCTGAAGCAGATTTCGCACCTTCACCTCAAGGAGGAACTCTATCAGAGGGCAATCGACATAATCAAGGATGAATACGGGAGCGTATTCTCGGCTCAGTACGCCTACGCTTCGGAATTGATCAACAACTGCAACTCTAGGACCTTCAAAAACCCAGATAAGTGGCACGCGTTGATTCCGGTGATCGCACAAAATATTAGAGCTCTCAAGACCCTCATAGAGGGATTCGATGGCGCGGCGGTCATGATATTGCCGATCATTCTCGACAACCTTCCAAGCTCGGTTAGGGACGCCTTTCTCAGAGTCCACGAAGTATCGAAGTCAGATGAGGCGAACAAACAGTTAGACGCGCTGGTGAAGTTCTTGGGGAAGAGAATAAGAATAAAGCGACTCCGTCGGCCAGCAAAGCCAGCCCCAACACGGATCGAGGGAAATTTCGGAACGGCGGTGCGGTGAGGGGAGAACTCAACACATTCAATACCGCGAAGCCAAGAGATAACCATTCATTTTACGGTAATCAAGAATCCCAGGGCAATCATGCATGTCTATTCTGTGGCCTCAAAAACCACGCGTCACAAAAATGTAGAAAAGTTCTCTCGAGCTCAGAGCGAGCGGAAATCGTGCGGAAAACCGACGCATGCGCGAAATGCTTGAGGAGGAACCACGTGGCGTCGAAATGTCGCTTGAAAACGACATGCAGGTTTTGCAGAGGATGTCGCAACTCGTTATTGTGCGAAAAATCTCCAGACGCCAAAGTGACGTCTACCCTCATGGGCGCATCGAACAACGCGGAATGTAACGAATCGGACCACGAGGCTCGAGGAGATATCACCGAGCACATGCGAGGCAATGCGAACCTCGCTACTGGCTATGCCTATGTTGTAAAAGGCCCTATCGTCGAGCTCCGACGGTTACTGCTAGACATCGGTTCTCAGAGATCTTACATCACTGAGAAATTAGCCAAATCCCTGAGAGCTAAGGCGATCAGTAAGGAGCATCTGATCAACCATACGTTGGGCGGCCAGGCCTCGGAGGTGGAGCAATATTCCAACTACGAAATTACCATTAGGAGCCGTTTCGAGCCCAACGCGTCGTTTTCCATAGTGTGTCTGGGGATACCAGTAATCACGAGAACCGTCTTCCCACCCGCGGGGAAATTGACCTGTGATCTGGATTATGCGGATAGAGTTTCCGACCCCGTCCACAAGAATATAGATATCCTAATAGGGAACGATCACATCGGAAAATTTTGGCTCAACGAATCCAGATCCGAAGGATCTTTGATCGGGTTAAGAACACGCCTCGGCTGGTTTACTTTCGGAAAGAAAGAAGTACCGAGCCCATGCACGACAACGCTCAGCGTTGGTCAATTACGAGCGTCAGTCTCTACCGAAGAGGCCTCGAGAGCACTCAATGTAGAAGAGACTACCGACGCGTTAGGGACCCCCCGAGATATTGAATTTATGTTCCGTTCGGAGCTATCGGGGATAGAGCCGCCAGAGGGAAACGAAGCCGCGATCGAAGCGAAAAAATACGACGAAATATTCTTGAAGGGCATCAGGAGACTTCCGTCGGGAAGGTACTCACTGAAACTCCCATTCAATGATAAAATTCACGTGCTGGGAGACAACGAACAACTGGCTCAGATAAGGCTGAAAACCCTAATTTCTAGGAGCTCGCCAGAGATTCTCAAGGCAGCAGACGATGAAGTAGCGAGCTATATAAGGAGCGGGTTTGCGGAAAGGGCCCCAGAGAGAAAGAAAGGGGAATTCGCACACTATCTGCCCATTCAGGTGGTGAAAAAACCTGCCCCAGAAAGTGAATTGGGCTTCAAGATCAGATTGGTCAAGGACGCTGGGGCAAGGTCGAAGGATTTGGCATCCTTGAATGACGTGCTCATAGCCGGTCCTAACCTGCTACCCAACATACTCAGGGTCCTGGCGAGATTCAGAAACTCCCCCATCGTGATCATATCAGATATAGAGAAGGCTTTTCACCAGTTCGAGATAGACCAATCACATCGTACGTTCCTCAGATTTTTCTGGCGACCGGGTATATCAACCAATCCAGACGCCCCCTTGAGACAATTCTGGTCTAAAAGACTAGATTTCGGGCTAATATCCTCACCATGGCTGCACCAGGCAGGTCTCAAATACCACCTGGAGTTCATGAAACGAAAATACCCGAACGAAGCAGAATTTATCGATGAGATAATGTACTCAGCGTACATGGATGATCTATCATTCTCGGCAAATAGCATAAACGAGGCCAGAGACAAAGCGAAGCGCTGCGAGGCAATTTTCGCGGCCGCTAAATTCCCTTTGAGGAAATGGGCTTGCAACAATGTTGAGTTGGCGAGAATGCTGGAGCATGACTTCGCAGATCAGAACATAAGCGTCCGAGTCGATGAGAGCGATTTTAAGTTCTTGGGCGTGCGATGGTGCCAAGTCTCGGATACGCTGGGAGTCTTTGTCGATAGGGCAGTTCAGAGCCTGAGAGAAGGCAAACCATCGAAGAGGACTCTCCTCTCCGGTCTCGCTCAGGT